ACTTAATAAATATTTTGAGTAATTTGGTTTGATAATGGCATTAACTATATTCGAAGTATTCCCTAATGTTTATATAGTAATCAGATTCATGTTCACAGTTCCAGTCAGTATAGCTTCGACGAAAAGAAAGAAGCAAAGTTAAAATTGTTTAAGACGTACTAGAAAAGTATGATGGTCTAAGAGAGACTATCTTCATTATGATATAATTTAAAAAAAAAAATAGGGTGATACTAAAAGTAGGAAAATTCATTTATTTTAATTTGTATTTATTTTAAATTGATTAGCAATAAAACTTTTAATCATGCTTTATCGTATTAGTGAATGTAACTTATTTACTTTTACAACTGGGTTATAAAGGGGGCCTCGCAATTCTGATGTCGCCGACGTGCAGAGTTGGTCTAGCTCCGCCACTGGGACGCATATATTATCAGTTCCCCTAATAATAAGATATTAAAATAAAAATAATTATTTGTTTGGAATATATGGGCCTATGGGATATTTGGAATTAGCTTTCAAATTAAAATGGTCCTATACCAAATTTTTTATGTGATAAGGACTTAAAGCCCGCTGGTTTTTTAAAATTAATTGTAAATATTTTATAAATAATTTAAACAAATACAATTTTTTATATTTAAAGTACTAATAGTAAGTCTTAATTAAATAAAAATTATTTATTACTAATTTTACATGGAAAGGGGTTCTTAATACCGCTCTTGTTTCTCCAAACTTTCGCTAATAAAATAAAATCAATATTTCATACCTATTATCTTTTTTAGGGTATCTACCGATACCCTATTATCCGATTTTTGGGCTAATTTTAAAGCTACTGAACATAAGTGACAAAAAACTTTAGTCACTTTTATTCGGTTTCTCCTGAAATTACTTTTATATTTTTTTTTTTCAGTATAAGCAACGATATCTAAAAATATTAAAATTTTTGAGTTTCTATGATTAAAAAAAATTTTTATTCATAAATAAGCAGACATCTAATAAATCAGTTAAACCGCATTTTAGAAATAAAAATTTGATATCAGTTTTGTTTTTGTTTTTGTTGGCAGTTATAGGGCTTTAAAAATTTAAGTGTCTGATTTCTTGATAAGATTGTTTCCACACAGTTAAGTGTTTAATGAATTTATTGAGTAATTCATTAAAAATTATTTTTGATTTAATTACAGATAATTGATAACATTATAAATGAAAAGAATACGGAAGCACTAAAATGTTTAACAGTTCTAATACAGGGCCGTACTAAGAATTTAAGTACTCGTAAATTTAGTACCCGTAAATTTGGTACCCTTGAGCAACTAAACAAACTTGTGATCTATTTTACAAAAAAAAATCAACTAACACAAACTTATAATTATAACCTTTTTCTATTTCCAACAAAATTTTTATTGCAAATAAATTCTAAAAAAGCGCAACTTCAAAAACATTGCTGCCCTTAAAAGGCTTGTGCCCTACGGGAGTGTTTTGCATTGAGAACATAATTGCCTTTTAGTCTAACAGCAACAACTGTTCCTATGTTGTGTGCGTGGAATTCTCTTGAGAACAGTCGAGAAGTTGTTGCTTAGCCTTTTCAAAATATGAATCAAAGAAGAAAGAAAGAAAGATATTCTTTGGTATGAACTTTAAATGATTGATTACCGATTAAGGAACACTTTGTTACGGTGAGAGTGAAAAATAAAGTGCGGTGAAAATAACTACACATTTAAATGCTTATTGTCGCAACTCCAGGAGTATGATCACTTGTGCTTTAAGGCGTAAGGAATGAACTTCATAGCATCGCAACTTAATACGTTGGTCGCTTGTGTATGAGTGAAATGCAACTATGGCGTCTACTTTAAAATTTTCCACTTGATTGTAAGCAGTCATTATTTTATTTATTTTATATTCAATCGTAAAGCAGTCAACTTATAAATTAACCACAAAATAATTTAACAAAACTAAGAATAAAATTGTATATAAATATTTAAATATATACACGCACAACTACATATAAATTTAGTAATTTAAATTTAAACCAAAAAACTTTACATATAAAATAAATATCTTTATGTGCTTTTATTTTGTCTTTAAAAAAATCCCATTTACATTTAATGTGTGAAATGTTAATGCACTATAACTGATAAGATGATTTATAAATAAATAAAAAATTATTTTTAATCAAAAAAAAAAAACTTATTCACATTAAAAGAATATTTAGGGCACAATGAAAAACATGTTCACGTTGTAAGTTAACAACGTGAAGCAAAATTTCACTGTTGCTTGCTGCTAAGTAGAGCACACTAACACACATACACATACAAAAATACACACATACGCCCACCGCTACCTTGACTGATAAGACAAAAGGTTTTGCAAACAAGTTTTGTTTAATAAATTCTTTTTTATTTCCTAAAGCCATGTGCGAGAGCGGTGAGAGTAAAAAACAACAAACAGAAAAAAATATAGCAAAGCATAAAATAAATAATAAATAAGTAAAACCAATATTAAATATAGAAGTAAAACAATAACAAAGCTGAGAATAATTTAGTTTGTAAAGCTTATGCATATACATATTTGTAATTAGCAACAATAAAAATTAACAACAACAATTAAGGCACAATTTAATAGGCATGCAATAAAATGACAACAACAATTAATATTACACGTGCCATACTAATGGCTAGCATATTTTCTAATTGGCATATTTGTTTTATATTTACAGACATAAAAATAAACAAAGCAACGCACACACAAACACGCATAGTTTACCAACAACTATGTTAGTTTGGCAGCGTTGGTTTGTGATAAAATGAGAAAATTCCGGCAAAATATGGAATAAAAACAAAATCAAAGAAAAATTGTATGACGCAATCTAGTATAAGCAGAAATCATCAATGAAGACAGCATGCATTTCGCTATAAGAGACACAGACTATGCAAGAGCGCGAGAGTAGAGAGTAGACGGTCTGGCGTTGCTGGCCGCTGTATTTAAAAGGCGGCGTTCCCGTGCACAACCGCTTAGTTGTCATTAAACTTGCAATTATCGAACGTTGAAGGTGAAGGCGAATTGATTTGTGTAGCGCCAGCAAAAACAAAATAAAGTGAAATATTAAGCAGAAATAAATTTGTGAATTTTAAAAAAAAAGATAAATAAATAAAATGTGCGGTATATTTGCTATAATTTCTAAAGACGGTCAACCTATCGAACCGAAAATGTACCACGGCAGACTGCACAGTTTAAGAGAAATTGCATATCGTCAAAGTGGCAAGCAACGACATCGTGGTCCTGACTACACAGGTGTTAAGTTGGTGCAGGACGATGGCGTAGCATTGCTACACGAACGTTTGGCAATTGTTGGTGTTCAGACTGGACATCAACCTTTATTATCTGAAGATGGTAACATTTTGCTTGTGGCCAACGGCGAAATCTACAATTATTTAGAGCAGTCCGCAGAGATAGCAAAGAAACGTGGACACTACAAGCCAAAAAGTGATTGCAACGTCATCATTGAACTCTATGAAGAATATGGTGTCAATCTATTTGAGTACATAACCGGTATGTTTGCATTTGTGCTCTATGATAAGCACACGAAAAATGTGCTCATTGCACGTGATCCATTTGGTATTATACCCATGTATATCGGTGAGGATGCCAGTGGTAATATTTGGGTATCTTCTGAAATGAAGTGTATTGTTGAATTTTGCACCAAATTGGAATCGTTTCCTCCTGGCGAATATCGTTATGGACAACCTGGCAATTTAGAACGTAAGAAATTTTTTCATGAACGTTGGGTAACTGAAATACCCAACATTGAAGCTGATCTCTCCATTTTACGTGCCAGACTTGAATCAGCTGTGCGTACGCATTTACATTGTGATGTGTCATTTGGTGCACTACTCTCAGGCGGTGTAGACTCTAGTTTGATAGCTTCGATAGCCACAAAATTACGACGTGAACGTGATCCAACATTTAAATTGAAAACCTTTTCAGTGGGTTTACGTAATGCACCCGATTTCCAAGCAGCAAAATTGGTAGCAGATTACATTGGTAGTGACCATACTGAAATTATTTTTGAAATAGCAGATGCTTTGGATGGCATACGTGATATCATATACCACCTTGAAACATATGATGTTACGACAGTGCGTTGCAGTATACCCATGTTGTTATTGACTAGGTATATAAAAAGTACTGGCATCAAAATGATATTGTCTGGTGAGGGTGCAGATGAAATTTTCGGTGGTTATTTGTATTTCTTCAAATCACCAAACTATGTTGAGTTCCATAAGGAACTGGTGTCACGTGTGCAACAACTGAACTTGTCAGACTGTTTACGTGCAAATAAAGTGGCTATGGCGAAGGGTGTTGAATTGCGTGTACCATTCCTGGATACCGCTTTTGTTAACTATGTGATGTCAATACGACCGGAAGATAAAATACCAGGTTCACTAAACTGTTTAGGTGGTACACAAAAATATCGTATTGAGAAGCATATACTACGAGCAGCATTTGCAAAAGACTTTTTACCCGATGCTGTGCTTTGGCGACAGAAGGAGCAGTTTTCTGATGGCGTTGGTTATGACTGGATTGATACCATACGAAAAACGGCTACGAGTCATGTAAGTGATGTTGAATTTAGTACAGCTGCTACACGTTTCCCTATTAACACACCAACGACGAAAGAAGCTTTCTATTATCGCAGCGTTTTTGAGGAAATGTTCCCCGGTCAAGCAGCTGCAGATACCGTCAAACGTTGGTTGCCACGTCTCGACTGGGGTTGTCCTGAAGACCCATCAGGTCGTGCACAGTCAGCACATCAAGTGCATCAGTAATTGCTATGCAATTTTTTCAATAAGACTGAAGCCTACTGATAAGCTAGAAAATTTTCGACCAAGAGCGGCTACCTTGGTCAGTTTATGTTAATTAATTATTAAATTAATTTTTTATTTGAAATGTTGAGCATTTTATTAAATTAAATTGAATTTATTATTTTATAAAATAGCATTTTTTTACATTGTATTCGAATTTGAATGAATTTTTTTTAAATATATTATGTGTCTTATTTCTTTAGAATTGAAAATCATTTTGCTGACTTTATTTAAAAGAATCACTCGCAAATCTGCTTATGTTGCTAAATAAATTATTGTAAAATAAATTTACTAGTAAAAAAAATTAATGGAAATATAAATATAAATTTATTTTATTGTATATAAACTCATGAATCAAAAGAATTACTGTGCAAATATTACTGTAGCAAAATTTTCTTAAGAATAATAATTGACAATTAAGCTAAAAATTGTATTTGTTTTCTGGAAGCCGTTAAATGTTGAAAATCTGTTTTTAAAAAATATAAAACTTTTTTATAATAAAAATTATAAATGAAAAAAATAATATTGTATTTTTCATGTTTAAACAATAACACCGGTTGCGTAAAGTAGACCGGATAAGGCTATTACAACAAAAGTACTCTAAATTTAAAAAAATTAACCAGATATCTTTCCTATTGCGGTTTCGTAAACCCCTATACCTATATAAATGTGATTAATCTTACTGAACAATCTGTTTAATGTCCTGTCCGCCGAAAGGTCGATCTTCTAGCAAAATTCCCTCAAATAATGAAAATTGATATCGACTTAAGCTAATTTTGATAACAAGAAATAAGAAGCAACTACGGGGTTTCACTTAAATATAATTGTAATAATTTGGAGGAAAACAACTCAGTTTGGGAACTGATATCGATCTAAGATTATTTTAGTAAAAAGAAATTAAAATTACAAAGGCCTTTTACGAAAAAAGTACTAATAGTTGTTATGGAAAATCAGTCAGGAATGAAGAATTTGTAATTTGTAAGCAAGATATATGCGTTCTTCTAAGATAAAATCTCAATAGTAATCTCATTAGCATTTTTTGAGCTCACCGAATAGCCAGTAGTCGCTGGGGGTCAGATCTGAACTATACGCTTGATGAGGAAGCAATTCGAAGTCTAATTCATGCAATTTTTCCATCGTTTTTATTGACATGTGACATGGTGCATTGTCTTGGTGAAACAAAATTTTTTTATTCGTCATATGCGATCCAGTAATGCCGTGTAGTAGTTACTATTGATGATTTTTTCCTTTTCGAGTTAGTCAATGAAGATTATACCATGTGCATCCCAAAATACTGAAGCCACAACCTTCCCAGCTGACTGTTGTGCCTTTGGACGTTTCGAACGTGGTTTACCGGCTGCAGTCCTTTCAGATGATGATCGTTTTGACTACGGGGTGAAGTGAAAGATCCATGTTTTCTCCATTGTCACATATCGACGCAAATAATATATGATTATGATTTAATACGTGTGAACATGACCAAACACTGCTTTGAATCATCAACAAGTTATTGTTTTTGATCGACTATGAGTAAACGCGACGCCCACTTTGAAAAGAGCTTTCTCATGGTCAAATGTTCATGCATAATTGTAAACACACAGCCTTTTGATATCTTTACGGTCTCAGCTATCTCATCCAATTTCAATTTACGATCAGATATAAGCAATTTCCGGACTTTTTTAATGTTTTCTGGAGTAACCACTTCAATTGGACGACCAGAACGTTCACAATCATCGGTGTCTGTACGACCATTAAACCAATAACAAATGGTTCTTTTTGATGGAGCAGAGTCCGGATAACACGTTTGAAGCCATTACTGAGCCTTTACAGTACTTTTTTGATCAAGAACCAATGATAAATTAACACACGAAATTGTTTTGAATCCATTGTTTTGAAAATAAGAGTAGTTTTACATAAATGGCTGTCACTTTTGGTATTTTGAATTTTGGTACTTCATAAACGTCATATGGATTTGAAAATAGCAGCGCCATCTGTGTGTCAATCACACGACTTATTGAGTGATGTGTTACATAATAATATAAAAATAATACAATTTTTATAGAATAAAATAAATTATTGTATTTATGTAATAATTTTCAGATTTATAATTTTATAAATTATATTATATATTTAATATAATATAAATATTTAAAACCAAAAATTATTGTAAAAATTAATTATTTTTATAATGAATATTTTCGACTTTAGTATAATATATATGTAGAATGAAAGTATAACTTCTGTATATATATGTCATTTAATTGTTATGGTATTATAAAATTATATTATTGTCTTATATATTTAATTTGTTGTTGTATCGGTCATCATAAAATAAAAAATAATAATGATATACTTTTCAAACTAAATTAAAACGTTTAATATTATTTAATATTAACTAATTAAATCGTATAAAAATATATACAAAAAAATTGTTTCTAATTTATAAAATAATATGTTTCCTACTTAGTTTAATTGGTATAATTTAAGTTATATTATATATTAATTTATAAATTAATTTATACAACAATTTTTGGGCTTTAAATATAACAAATTTTTATAATTGAGTTTAGATTTAATATAATTAAAATATATTTACAGTTTTTAAAATAACTTATTTGTTAACAAGTTTAATTATAATTTTAAATTAGAATAAATTTCTTTTATATATGTTTCCACTTGTCTCATTTGAGCAGTTTTGCTTATTAATGCCGCTAATGATTTTACTTACAAAGTGTTTTCATATATATGAGTTTATAAACAATAAATCAACTTATTTAAGGCGAAAAATGTCAAATGCAACCCTTAAAAACAAATTCCCCACAAAGGAAATTATTAAAATTTCAAATATTTGCTATATATTTTATTTGTAAAATGTAAACGAACAAGTTATTTAACATGCATAAATCAGTTTATGCCAATGAAAACGACCAAATCTTAATTTCATTAACTGAAGTAGCTTTAGTTGCAGTGGAAACATGTTATTTGGCTTTAAATATAAAAAATTTTAAGAATTGTATATAAAACATTTAAAACAATAAATTAAAAATTTTATAAATATATTTTTGAATATTTATATTAAAATATTTATATTCTGTGTATTAAATATATTCTATATAAATGTGAAATACATTTATAAATTTATATTAAATTCTTGAAAGCCTCACGTTTAGTATAGTTTTTCACCTAATAAAATTCTTATTGCGCCATCTATATTTGAAATTTATATTTTTCGCATTTGCTTTGTTATCTTTTTTGCATTACCAAGAAATGACATAATTTAAAAAAAATACAAGAATTTTTCACTGCGGTTGCGGAGCTGTGTCAAGTTTTTCGAGAAATAAATTGATAATTAAATAATAAAAGATGTTGAAAAGATATAAAAAAGATTTAAGTAAAATATGAATAGTAATCAATCTTTTGTAAATTAAATGCAGTGCTAATGTTATATAAATAAGATATTAAATCAAATTGAGTTGAAAATAAAAAGCTGCCGCAGCATAAGCCAAAAAAGTGACGGAAAAATATCAGCAAGCAAATAAAGTGAATAAAGCAGTGAGAAGAAAAGAGGCAAAAGCAGTTGGACCGAAAGGCCAAAGAAGACATTGGAATTTTGTGAGTGAGTAGAGAAACAATCAGCGGTCGTTTCGCATAAAATTTTTTAGAAAAAATTAATAAATAAATATAGAATTTTCCACAAATGACGCGATATAAAAATAAATATTAATGTGATATGCAGATTAAAGAGCAAAGAAATCAATTATGATTGCAAATATTCTTGCAGGACACCAAACATAAACGCGCCCCAAACAGTGCCGCTGGAAAATCAATTTTTTTTCGCTGGCAAAGAGGCAACGCAGCAGCTAACATCGCCGCCGCAGTTTGTTGCCGCTGCCCAACCCAAAAGCTACAAAGCACTAACGTAGCAGCCAACTGCTCTGTTCGCTGCCTTCGTTTCCGTATAAAAAAATAAATTGGTGAGCTTAAATAAAATTATTAATAATAATAATAAATGTCTAATAGAAAAGAAATGAAATTATTGTCACAAATGTTTTGTGTGTAAATTCTTTTGTTGTTGATATTTCCGCCGATTTCTGATTTCTGTGTTTCTGTGTACACATCATTAACCTCTAACATGTATGTTCCTAGCCATACTTTCTAATGTGACAAATTGTTATTCATTTAATCATTTATTTAGTGAGTTTCACAGCTTTCAATAAACGTCCGCTATTTAGCTAACAGTTGTGGACGTTGTCGATGTCGTTGTCGTTGTCGCAGTTCGTTGTAGTCGTTATAGTCGTCGTAGTCGTTGTCATCGTCATCGTCATCAGCTTTTATCGACATCTTTATGCGAAAATTACTTTAAAGACTCCAACCAAGTCAACGATGCTTATAAATAGAAAATTGCGTATGCACTGTTGTTGTTGTTATCGTATTATTTACTTTGTTCTTATTATTGTTGTTGTTGTTGTTACGGTTGTTGTTGTGGCTCAGTCGGTAATTGTTTGCTGTTGTTATTGTAGCTGTTTTTCTTCGTATCATTGCTATTCCATGTCTGCTTTGTGACGTTCATTCATATCGGATTCGAGTTTGGCCATATAATTTCCATAAACGTTTGGCAAACAATAAATAAATTAAAAAAACATAAGCAATAATCTATAATCGACAACAAAAACAAAGACAAAAACAAAAACAAACAAGAATTAAACGTTTCTGTATGTAGAATACAAATCAGCGAATAAAAAATAAATCAAATAAAAAAAAAAAAGTGAAAACATGTTATGCTATTCTGTACAAAGATGATTCACTCACATAACTACCCTCGCCTCCACGTATTCACATTACCAAGTAAGCTTAACCACCCGCCACTGTGAAGTAGCTAGCAGCGAACGTTATCTTTGCCACTACCAAAGAGAGCGACGTTACAGAAAAAGTACTGTGCGCCACCTTTGCTGTCCTGCATCAAGTCGCTTTCCTGTTGCCCTAGAAATTCGCTGATGTTTGGCGAGGTGTGGAAAGTGTGAGGAGTTGGAATTTATTGCTTTATTAACATAAAAGTAAACGGCATGCCTGCATGCATGCTTGTCTGTCGTTCCATAATTGGTTCAAACGTGTTACAAACACCTTTTGCTGTTTCTTTTTTTTTTTTGTATTTTGTCTTTAAGAGATACCTTCTTTTGGATCGATTTGTCATAAAGAATATCTGACCCACTCCACCTGTAAGAGAGAAAAAGAAATTTCTTGCAAATCAAACGACAACACAACAAACCATAATTGTTTGATTTGATCCACTGACCCAGTCATATGAAAGTCTAACAGCGTTTTAAAAATTAACAAATAATCAATAGTATTTACCAATAAAATATTTATTAGCACTTATATACAAATTATATATCTATAATAATAAAATTAAATTGAATATTTCTTAAAATTAATTTTAAAATAATTTTTATAATGAACATCATTGCATATATTTAATTAGAAATTTTGTGTCGTACTGTGCAAAACAAAAAAAAAAAATCATATATTTGTTGTAGTTGTAGTCCACAGTGATCTAGAAAGCAAATAATATGAAAAGAATTACAAGGTTCCAAGAACGGCCGGGTCTACGTCTCGGAGCCACTCGTCAAAGACAACCAAGTGCAGTTCGACCACCCCCAAAGGGATTACACAAGCAGGTCCCGGCGGGTTACAACAACAACAACAACAAAAGAATTACAAATGTATATATGATGTGAATAGGTGATGGTTAAGTGGGATACTAAGGGATTGATTAGGGATAAGAAATGAGTTTATAATGTGAATAGGTGATGGTAAAGTGAGAGACAAGTGGATTGTTTAGAGATAAAGGGTAGGGAATGTATTACAGATAAGTAGGACTTAAATTGAAGTTAACCAGAGGGGATTGATTTCGGATAAGAAATGAGTTTATATACGTGAAGGTAAAGTAAGACACAAGAGGATTGTTTAGCGGTAATGGGTAGGGAATGTATTAGAGATAGATAAGATTTAAATTGAAGTCCACTTAGATCAAGACAGAGAAACCTAGTCACTTCAATGTGGTGAGTCCAAAGATCGATTTGAGTCATTATATATTACGATAAAATTACGGTAGGAAATGATGGGTTAATCAAATTGACATATTTTTGCGGAATCTAAGTCTTTTTGTAAAATAAAGCCATAACCAATGCTGTCTAAGCAATAATCTTATGGTAGTCATCCACAAATGTTACCTCCAATGTCATTATGTTTATGTAGCTCCTACCTCATGATGCATACATGGATCTCTTTCTTTATATAATTTGGATATATTGACATCCATGCAATAGACCTGAAATCCAGTGATGTCGAAATATACGTGGAGAAACACTTTAGGCACACGAGATGCAAATTCTCAATAATGCCACCTCATATCTACCAGAATGAACGATCGACTTTTTTAATGTTCAGGAAAACTATCCTGCTCAATTGAGGAATCATAATATATTTCAATATATTAATATTATTGATACATATAGCATTATTACTACAGATCGGTTTTTACGAATGAGGAGCTAATTGATATTCGATCTCGATTGCTTCAAAGTGCATGTTAATGCGAGAATATATAAAATCAATAAGTGTCAATTAAAATACATTCAATATTAATTGGAATTGATTAATAAAATATTTTTCTCTCCATAGATTGACTACTCAACAATTAAACAAAAATTAAAAAAGAAACTTATTTTGACCTCATATGACAATTACCTTTAAAATAACAAAAGGTACAAAATATAGTCAATTAATATAGTCAGAAAAAAAGGATATTGAACTTCAATAAACTGAGAACGTTACTATTCTTATTCTTATCATTTTACTGCTTTGTGAACTTTGAAGCCCTGAAGGTGATTGTGAGCTATACTTGAGGACTATACATTAGGAGTAACATGTCCAGATAGTTATCAACTTTTGCTGAAACATGAATGTAAATTTTGTAAACTCAATCAAGAAAGTTCTTTGAGTCCTGTAAGTTCTAAGTTACTCAACTTTATTGAATTCATATTAATTAAGAAATGAATTTTTTCACATCAATCACGCAAGCAGTCAGTGCTCAATTTAGCTTAAATATATACATCAAAATAAGCATGAGTTAAAGTGGCAGCTACCAGTACCAGTAAAATAAAAATGAAAACATAATATAAGATAAATTTACCGAAAATTTCAAGAAGAAATGTTTGTATAAATTTTTTATTGTTTAAAAAATAAAAGTAAAAGAAAACAGTATTGCACGACATCGAATAATGCCCTAAGTTTATCTAACATAAATACTCTTATAATTCATAAATGCCAATATTCTATAAAATCTCTATATTTTATATAAAGTAATTAATAGTTTCTGATGGCATATAAATCCTTTCCTGCTTTTTTAGGACGATCAACCATATTAGAGAAAAGCTGTCTAGAACATAGTTTTTATTTATCTAGTTACAACACTCCCGATGCTGTTGGCATATAGGACCGTTTTAACTTTAAACTTATTTCCCAATTATGTTCTGTTATATGCTGTACATTTTATTAGATCTGAATATAATATTAAAAATTAATTTTATTACTTTATCTAATCTTTAGTTATATATTAGATGATTATTTTTTATCTATAATATTTTTAAATATTGTTTACTTTAGCAAAAATGATAATTTTAATATCGTAAATATAAAAAAAATGTAGTAAATCTCGCAATTCTGAAAAGAAAAGATTTATTTTGTGGAAATATATCTGTGTCCATACATTTGATGCACTCATTTATGCCTTAACCGAAAGCGTTGTGCTTCAATGCATTGCTTTTTATATCCAAAATTTGATTTTTTAATTTATACATAATTAAAATCAAAATTTTATTATTTTAAATTTATCCAAAGTGGGAGCAAGAAATTTTGTCTAGTGGCCACACCTCAGAACTGTTTATGGTATTTTGTCTTCTATTTTCTGAAATTTCTATGAATATAATTTTGGTGCATTTCTTAACTAATACACTCTTAACATACAATTATTATAAACATATATATTAATTTTAATTGGTTAATTAAAAAGCATTATGAGATTGAAATATAATATAACTAATATATAATACATATATAAATATAATATAAATTATCAGACCTTCTCAATATCTTCTCTGTCTCACAACCAATAATAGTCATTAAAATTAAAAATAATACTTACAAGTATTTGATTATTCTGTAAATTCATATATTTAATTCCTTTGTTCATAAATATAAAACAATGTTTTTATTTCGATTATAGTTAAAGCTTGTAACACTCATAAACGCACATCTCCCTTAAACATGCATTATTGACAGTCCAGAATACCTATATGAAGTATATTCCTTTAAAGAAATTTATCCTTTAATCGGACTAAATTGCTAGTCCCTTCGGTATCTGCTTAAGATATTTTTCATTGTATATGTCTCTTAGAATTTTTATAATGTTGAGAGCATTTTGAAAGAAGGCCATCGGAGACCATATATTATATGCTCTTTACATCACATATCGAAATTAAGTTTTGCTCTTTCATTGTTTGTATATATCTGAGATCAAAACATTTTGAGAACTTAAAGTCCACAGGTACATATAACTTTAGTTTTAAAGCTAAGATAATTTTACTGAATTTTTAGCGAATAATGCATTGATAGACCAGTTGATACAGTACAGGACATATATTGCTATCGATAATAACAGCACTTCTCTCCAAAGGCAAAAGTAGTCCTTCCGACTACTCCCACTAAGGACTCCCGACTTATTTAGTCCTCCCGACTTATTTAGTCATCTTGACTAAATAAAAGAATTTACTGAACCCTTTTTATATTGATTTGACTTTCAACGTCAATTTGAACGAAAGGAAATAAATTATAGATATAAACTATTGTTTTAAATAGAGAGGTATTTCGAACAGTAGTAAATCACAACAACAACATTATTTTTATTATTATTTTATTTTTTTTATTATTTTAAATGATTGAATTTTTGGCTGACCATACAGCTGTTTCGGGTATTGCCAAATACCCATTATCAGTGGTCTTTAATTTATTTCTTATATTTGATCATTTGAAAATAAACCTATTTTAATATAGTTATCTTTCTTTCTTTTTCAGTGAAACACAAAATCGAATAATCCGAAGGCAAATTCACGAATCAATTAAAAAAGATGGCGTATCGTAAGCCAACCGACTTGGATGGTTTCATCCAAATGATGCCGAAAGCGGATATGCGCGTAAAAGCATTTCTTGCAGAAGATTTGGTGACATTCCTCAGTGACGAGACAAATTCTATAATATGCATGGATATGGGTTTACTAGTTGATGGTTTAATGCCATGGTTAACCGGCAGCCATTTCAAAATAGCGCAAAAATCACTGGAGGCATTTTCAGAGTTGATAAAGCGTCTTGGACCAGATTTTAATGCATATACAGCTACAGTGCTGCCACATGTTATTGATAGGTTAGGCGATAACAAAGATACAGTACGGGAGAAGGCGCAATTACTATTACAAAATATGATGGAACACAAAGTGTTAACACCTCAGAACACCATCGATAAATTGGCCACAGTTTGTTTTAAGCACAAAAATTCAAAAGTACGAGAAGAATTTTTACAAACAATAGTGAATACATTGAATGAATATGGCACCTCACAATTAGGCGTAAGAACATATATACAACCGATCTGTGGTCTACTGGGTGATCCGTCACTAACAGTACGTGACGCTGCCATACAAACGTTAGTGGAAATTTATAAACATGTTGGTGAGCGTTTGAGACCTGATTTAAGAAAAATGGAAGATGTGCCTGCTTCAAAATTAGCTATATTAGAGCAAAAATTTGATCAAGTAAAAGGTGAAGGGCTTTTGTTAAAATCAGCCAGTCTTAATTCACAAAATTCAAATAATGGGCATGATGAAGGTGATAATATCAGTGTGAGGGAACGTCCTACAAGAATAGTGAAGCGTAACTTGTCATCAGCAATGAGAAGTAAAGTAAACCTTGCTGAAGCGCCTGCAACGGGTGATGCTGGTGCAGTAACGATTGAAATTTTTGAAGCAACATTTGAACTTGTGCCACAGTTAACGATATTTCATCCAAAGGATATGGATGATGTCTACAAAAATATACTTGTGATTATAAGTGATAAAAATTATGATTGGGAAAAACGTGTGGATTCGTTAAAGAAAATTCGCTCGCTTTTAATGTTAAATATACACAGCCAACCGCAGTTTAGTGTTCAATTAAAAGAACTTTCTTTATCATTCCTAGACATTCTCAAAGAAGAATTGCGCTCCCAAGTAATACGTGAGACCTGCATCACCATTGCCTACTTGTCGAAGACACTCCGCAATAAACTGGATGTATTTAGCGCATATATATTAGATCAATTAATTAATTTAATACAAAACTCTGCTAAGGTGATGGCCTCCTCGGCGACTATTGCACTAAAATACATAATCAAATATACACATGCGCCAAAATTAATTAAAATCCTTACAGATACATTACAAACTTCTAAATCGAAAGATATACGTGCGGCATTATGTGAGATAATGTGCTTGCTGTTTGAGGAATGGCAAACCAAGTCAATGGAACGCTATGCTACAGTTCTGCGGGATACATTAAAGAAGTGCATTTCGGATGCAGATAATGATGCCAGAAGGCATTCTCGTCGCGCGTACTGGGTATTTAAACGACACTTTCCAGATTTAGCAGATCAAATTTACGGCACATTAGATATAGCTTCACAGCGTGCACTTGAGAGAGAACGTGATTGCAGCTCACTTCCTGATGACAGGCGATCAACAACTGCTACAACACGCATACAGCGTTCACCAGGATCAATACAAAAACCAGCTGCTGGCATGCGTAGTGTGTCTGCAGTAGATGCGGCAGCAGCACAGCGTGCCAAGGCACGTGCACAGTATGCGCTATTTGCAAGAAAAAAAGCGAATAATGTACCTACGAACAGCACCGTCACTGGATCTTTACCCAGACCTAAGCTAATGGCGACGAGTAATTCAGCAAATATGCCCTTACAACAACAGAAACCTGAAGTACCCCCGCGTACACGTGGACGTGCAGGTGTTTCACAGTCACAACCAGGTTCACGTTCAACTTCACCTAGTTCGAAACTACGCGAGCATCATAACTACTATCGTCCTATTACTGGAACAATCCCAAAGAAAGCGTCTGGTATACCACGCTCCTTAGCTAATTCTAGAGAAACGAGCCCTACGCGCGTAAATATGAAGCGTAGTATGTACAGTACCGGTACGTCTCGTCGTACACCGGATCGTATCAATTCCTCGCGCCCGTTAGCAGCTGCGCGTATGTTACAACAGAGTCGCGAAGCTGAGAATGCTTTAGCTGATGCACTGTCGCCAGATGGTACGGATAGAGACTATGGGGACTATAGTCGTGGTTTCTCTGCAAGTGGACGAGTGGGACGTAGGTTGTTGTCACGCGATGAATCTGACGATTCGGAAGCGTCGTCTGTTTGCTCAGAACGTTCATTCGATTCTTCATTCACGCGTGGCAACAACTCAAATTACTCACTATCGGGTTCGCGCAATCGGCTTGACTGGAGTTGTCCTCGTGCGCCCTATGAAGATATAAACACAATCATTCAGTACTGTGCTTCGCAGCATTGGTCCGATCGTAGAGATGGTTTGACGAGCTTACAGCAATATTTATCCGATGGAAAAGAATTAACGTCACAACAATTGCAAAATATACTTGATATGTTTCGAAAGATGTTCATGGACACACATACAAAGGTGTATTCATTGTTCCTAGATGTAGTTAACGAGTTATTATTGACTAATGCTGATGACTTACACGATTGGTTGTTTATATTATTGACACGACTATTTAATAAGCTGGGCACTGATTTACTAAATTCTATGAACGGTAAAATTTGGAAAACTTTACAATTGGTACACGAAAGTTTTCCGACAGATTTACAAATGAAAGATGTATTTCGAATACTAACAGATGCAGCACAGACCCCGAGTGCAAAAACGAAAATTGCAATTTTAAAATTCTTAACAAATCTGGCGACTACCTATTGTAAAAACACTGATTTTCCCTCCGAAGATGGTTCATCACAAGTCGAAAAAGCAGTACTGAAGATTGTGCAGTTGGCCGGTGATCAGAAGAGCGTTGAGTTACGTGGACAAGCACGTCTATGTCTTGTTGCATTGTACAATTGTAACACGCCGCAGATGACAAAAGTACTTTCTGGCTTGCCAAAAGGATATCAAGATTCGGCAAAGGGTATCATACAATCACATCTGCGTCGCAGTAGTACATCGGGCACAAACTCGCCTTCTTCCTCGCCGCTCTCCAGCTCCAGTCCTAAGCCGCTGCAGAGCCCCTCGCTCGGCCCTTTCTCGTCACTACAACCACAGTTCAACACTAGTCCACGCTCACGTCAAGCCTCAGTCGATCATGAGCTTTATTCAGAAGTCGATGTGCATCAAAATATACATAAAACTTCGGAAGAAATTCGTAATTGTTTCGGACTCATCGGAGTTACGGAATCGTCAATAACACGCCAATATCATTCACTCTCAAACAACGCCAACGGCTACAATGGCCACATAAACGACCATCAGGACTCTTACGCCTCATCCAATTCCAAAACACAATCCGCTACAACAACGGAGTCAAATACACCCGAAAGTACTACGATGCGCTTAGATGCAAATCTGCTCGAACAAAATCACAAATCACACAGTCACATGAATACAGTCACAAGTGCACCAATCGCATCCAAACCAAATATGGAGTACAAAGTGGGTGCAGATGGTGAAATTATATTAGAAAATGGTTTACGCGAAACAGAAATCATAAAACTCGCGTGTACGCTAACACCAGACATGCCGACAGATCAGGTGCAAATAGCACTAAATAACCTGGGCATCTGCATAAAAAGCGGGTCATCGGAACTACCCAACAAACACTTCCGCGCCATCATGAAAATGTTGCTCGGCATGCTGGAGGCGAATACAAGCGATGTGATTATAGTAGGCCTGCACGTAATAGGCAAAATTATACGCAATGAAAAGATGAAAAGCAACTGGAGAAATTTCCTCGAACTAATATTATTGAAAATAATCGATTGCTATGGTTTTAGCAAGGAGACACAAAGGGAAATCGATGTTATTATGCCGCGTATGGTGCCTGCACTGCCACTCGATGGTACCATCAATATCATAAATCCGGTCATTGCAACTAGCGTGTATCCATTGAATTTATGTGCGGTTAAATTATTAACCGAATTAGCAGATCGCCACGGCAGTGAACTGACTGAAATGCAACTGGACAGTGTGTTTCCTAACTTGGCACGACTCACTGATGACTCGCAATCGATGATACGTAAAGCAGCCGTATTCTGCATTGTTAAGCTGTATCACGTAATGGGTGAAGAAAAAGTCAAACCCAAGTTGACAATGTTGAATCCAAGCAAAGTGCGCCTACTAAATGTGTACATTGAGAAGCAACGTGGCTCGAGTGGTGGTGGTAGTTCAACGAAAAACTCATCAACGTCATCGTCATGATTTCGTCGTTAAAATGCTGCGTAATGTCTGACAATTTCCATTGAGCGTGACATAACCACAAATGTGTACGACACAAAATGTAAACGTAACGTTTAGGGTAGTAAAAAGTTAATAGCCTGGCACTGGACGGATGATAGATAGTCTCGTCGAGCTGCTTTTAGTACATTTTAGTTAATATAAACAAAAGCATATGTTGCAAGAAGGAGTTGTGGCGTTTTTACGTGATTTTCCACTAAGAATGAAAACATTTTTATTATAAATGAATCAGTCGATTTGCTTATGATTATTGATATAAATATTATATATAGTTAAGCAAATTATTATTAATTTAATTGTTATAAATTAATTATATTTGAAGCGCCCGCCCAGTACATTGCTGCTGATGCTGCTGCTGCTGTTGCTGCTGATTAATCAACAAAAAATCAGAATCTAAAATAATACCTAAGGAATTATTTAGTGTTATAGCTGCTGTAAAGAATCAATTCCTCCGCATTGCTCCAAATGCTCGTTCCATATGGAATCCACAACGTCGCTTTCAATATCAAATATTTTGTAGCTTTGCTCATTTTTGTTCGTGTTAATATTTTTTCATATTATCTTTATTGTTTCTTTCTTACTTTGATTATTCAATTTTTGTATATTCTAAAAGTGTGTGTCGTTTTTTAATTTAATTAACTTTTTTATATATAATTAATTTGTGTTTAAACTATACAAGCTCTTGTTAAGTTCAATGTGTACATTTAGGTCGAAATATGAATAATTTTTAATACTAATTTTTATGCAACAATAAAAATAACAATGAAGCAAACAGTCGAGATAATATCATATTTATGTATTTAAATTTAATGATTAATGATTACTGATTACTGATTTTATTTTTTATTCTAGAATCATTTTTGATTTATATTTTAAAATTATATTTTTGTAATTTAATAATTTACTTTTAGGTAAATAATAAAATTAATGCATTCAACAAAAGATATAATAATATAATAAAATTAATATTTATAATATTTAACAATTAAACGTTGAAATTTCCTTTAATGTCTTTTTAAAAGAAACATTTATTAAAAAATGTCTAATAAAAAAAATATTCTCATAACTAAAAACAAAATAGAACTCTTATTTCAATGTTATAACTAAAATATTTAGTATAAATAAAAATTGATAACGTTATATATCGTTATTTATATATATATATATATATGTATACATATATTATATACATACATTCTTAAGCTAGATATAGAGAATAACTAATTAAAACATATATTAATAATTTAATTAAAATCTAAAGGTTTTTTTAATCGAAACGAAGTTTTGTATTGTTTAACTATTTTCACCAATATTGTTCTTATCGTATCCCGCAAGGATTCCTAAAGCAGATAAAATGAAAGAAATTCCAAAGATGAATACATGGGTTAGGATGTGGATTGGTATTCGTAGTATTAAAAAGAGGAGATACTTAAAATAGATTGATGGATGTGTTGAATTTAATTGAAGTTTAATACAATTTCTGAATTAATCCCATCTACGGGTTGAAATTGATCAATCAAGATCAACTTTTAAGGAAACAGATCTAAACAACGATTGGACTCAAGTTTGTGTGTCTATTGGAAAAGAGAGAGAAAAAGAGAGAGATGGGGGATATAAGGGGGGTAGAACTGCAATTGACGGTCTTATGCGTGACAAGTAACTATTTTGCACATGACTTCATCTTAATTGAGCTAGGACAGCTCTTGCTGCACATGGAGGCGATTTGTGACGCCTATTGAAAATTAGGTGAAGGCTTATTGAAAACTTTGTTGCAGTGCCACCGTGGTCACTGCACAGTACACTTCATATGTGTGGGTCTTACATTTACATTTGACCTCACTGAATTCAACTCCATTGCAATAGGTGTCGATATATACATAACATGAGAAAAGGGATCGACGAATGCATTTTGGAGTGCAGATTCTATTAAACATGATGGTATTGGTATGCCCATCTGTGTGGCACACAAAGAGATATTCCTTGGGCAGCAGCTAAATATGCGCTTTTACAATAACAATAGGTCTAAGTAGCTGTTTAAGATTACTATAGTAATCTAACTATTGCGGTATATAGCCCTAAGTGGACCCCTATGATAACGTAACTATAAAATAATAACATAATTATTTTCGGATTTCAGTGCAAGTCGGGAATATGTCTCGAACCTGTCGTATATCCCAGTGAGTTTTATTTTAAAATATTTTAGATCAAAATGTTTGTGTGTAAGGCAGTGAAGGTTAAACTCAATCTCTGGCAAATATATGTATGTATATTAAGATCGATGAGTTAAAATGATTTAGTTTAATTAATCTGTCTTTGTGTAGTTGAAACATTATGAGACCCGTTATGTAGAAAACTTGAATTGATTATGCTATATGGATTATAGAGCAATCCATATGCAGATAGCCATATGGTCAAATTTGTGAATCAATAAAGGCAATTTTATGCAATTCTTACTTTCACGTTGTGCCTATATTCAAAAGATAATATTAGAAGAGTTTCGAATTGACTTTTTATATTATATTATTTATGTAGTTAAAGGCTTAGTTGAGCGAAACATAAAACTCTTAATCGGCTTTTTATTTTTAATTTATTTTATTTAGTTAATGTTTAAGTAAATATCGTCAACGTTTCGGTGTTTATTTGACTTCCTCAGAGGTTTAGTACCTTAAAAGAGGGTACTAAAGAATCAATATTCATCAATATACTGTGTAGATCTGTGCTAATCTATATAAACTACCAGATCGTTGGCTAAAATTAAAAAAGTTTAGATAGTACTTTAATCGAGTTACTTAATCAACTGTTACTGATTCGGTTTCTGAAATGATTCTGTCAAAGTAATAATATGACGGTTTATATTTTTTGCAAAAAATAATGTTGACGGGATGACGGGACAAATAAAGGGTACACATATCCTGTGGAGAATTACTTTTAATACATGCTGATTCGTTTAAGTAGCGACAAAGCTTCCTTTTATATTCAAGTAGAGTACAAGTATCATATTCAATTCTCCCTAAACCAATCTTCTTTAGTCAATAAAGGATATTATTTTTGATAGATCTGTTTTTGTGTTATCTGTCAGGCTATGTAACTCGTAGGCTTTCATAGCAGATTGCCTTTATCTGATTCTATATAGGCATTTGCAAAGGAAGTGTTGAGTTGCTTTTTTTTCCTCTTCTCTCTTCACGCAAAAATGCAAGCGCCGCTGCTCCCACTTCCATGCTCACTCGTATTATAACAGAATAACTGTAGAAATTCTCACATTATTCTATCAACTGCTTTAATGGCATCTGATTATTCGCATAATTCACTTAAATTCTTGTTTGCAGTTACTCTGAGAGCAAATATATAATGTAAATGCACACTTAAGACTGTAAGTGCTAAGATTCCGTAAGAAAACATTGAGTTTGTAGCGTGAAGTGAGTATAATTTCAAATGAAAATAAGGATAGTATTCTCTTCCTAATAGTCAATGCCACATGGTCACAAAATATCTGAACAGAGATCTTATGAAATGTCATGCGAAAGCGACATTCTGTCTCTTCAGATAGGTTAATCTAGTGCAGATTGTGACTCGTGAGATAACCTACCCGCAACCTAAGGTTTGTTCTACTGAGAGATAACTACTGTACTTATTAACCAGTTATTTTTGGCTTGGCAGCTTATCCGGCCACAATTAAAATATAAACGTAGTAATTATTTACGGGAACCCATTAGTTAAGGTACTTCACAGGTACTTCAAATTTCTGCTGACTAAAATTTACTAAATTAAGATCCACGGAATTAATTATCATAATTTCAATTTTATTCTTTTAAGGATATTTTAATATTATCTATATATGTTACTTTTGAAGACACTAAATTGAATTTTAAATAATATAATATATATGAGTTTTTTTAATGAATTTATGTTTGTAACAATCTGTTTCTTTTAGAATTCCAAAATAGAAATAGGGATTTAGAATAAGGTCGGATTTACACGCAAATGGTGGTTAAATAATTTATGTTAAACTATGTTTTTCAGGTTTTACCAAAGTGCTAATATTTTATGTGCTTTCCATATATTATTTCTCTTTGTTACATTATCAATCCACATCATCTGTACTAACTCCAGTGTAAATAGGTTCCTCTTTTTTATCTGTTTTAGCAGCATCAGTTGTAGATGTACTGGCTTCACTATCTTTTGTTTCCTCTTTAGTTTTTTTATTTTCATCTGCATCTAAAACTGGATCATCTGCATTTGGTACCCAGAGGCCCGAATCAACACAACGTTTCATATGATATTTTGCTACCTCCACAGGCAAAGTAGTAATAGTTTTTTGCAGTAGTTCAATGTCACGCGATTCAAAGCAAGCTTTTAATTCCTAAAAAAATAAATTTTAATTACTTAATTTATTGAATACAATATATGATCAAACATCACACAAATTATATATACAAAATAATTGTATAATGTAACTGTGCTTAAGTTAGTAATTAATATATAAACTTACATCTGGTAGTTCTTCAAAAACTTCGGCTGGATCCAAACCTCCTGGTCCAAGACGCGCTTGGCGGTCTTCCTCTTCTTGTTCGGCGATAGCTTCCTGTATTTTCTCTTGTGCTCGTTTCTTTATACGCTGCTTAAATCCTTCAATTTCGCTTTCAAATTGAATTTTATATTCCGGCACACAATTTTGTATTTTTGAAAAGAATGAGCTTACACAGCCACGTGGATCCACATCCAATTGTTTAGCTAATTCCAATATATACTGCATACAAATACACTGATGCGCAACATGTGCCATCAACTCATGCTTTTCTTCCATTTCTAAATTAATCGACCATATAACTAAATAATTAGCAGTTTCATCACAAACTAAATTCGTATGTTCCTGCAGAAACCGTTTCGAGTCATCGTACTTCCGCAACATACCATACTGTTTGCATAATTTTTCATTTTCCTTGACGAATTTACTCATGCGTTCCTGTCGCTGTTCTTCGGTAAGCTCCTCATCAGCTTTTCTTGGTGTTTTCTTATTAATAACAGTCTTTTCGAAACCTGGCTTACTTATAGTATCAACATTCCAAGGAGTTTTCCTTTCTTTCTTATGAAAATCATCTTCTTGACGGTCGAGCTCTTTTCCCTCTATTTTGATTTTCTCCAATTGTTTCTATTTGGACAGAAAACCAAACCAAATTCTATATAACATTTTTATATAGTTTATATAATTAAATAAACAAACCTTTAACTCTTCTTCATCACCTTTTTTATTTTTGATACGTTCTTTGACGTCAATAAGGCGTGCCTGGTATGACTGTTTTTTCTTCTTCAGCTCTTCCTTTTCGGTTTCCATTTCGGCCATACGTTCGACACGTGCTTGATGCCGCCAGCGAAACAGGGAGGGAGTATCAATATTTGGATGAGTGTCGTCTTCATCATCTGAAATCTTTTTACAAATTTTATTTTATATTACAAAATTGTAAAATATTATTAATAATTTACTTCAATATTTTTCCACTTGCTGTAGTCCACCATTTTTAGAATAACGTTTATTTAAACCAAAGGATTTGAAAATTTAAAATATACGAAAAAATATATTTGCTACACAATGCGGCAGTTTTATTGAAATTGCTAGAATTTTCTCACACAATTGTCAAAACAAAAAACTGCACAGGGTTGCATTTAGAAGCTATTAAGCACAGGAACTTGAAACCCAGGTGGCGCAAAACTGTATTTTTGGTGTTAATTCATTTAGAAAACAAATTTCATTTTAATTATTAATTACAAAAACTATTTCATATTTGCTATATTCATCCTTAATTATTTACAAAAAAAAACAAATTTTTGTGTTATTAAGTACGTTGACAATCACAATATAAGTTAACGACTTGTTTTAATATAGATTTAAATAAATGTTACAAATATTTGACAAGCATAGAAAAGTTGTAGAAATATTTTATACAGTATATTTGTAAAATGTTGAATCTAGTTGAGTTAGCGTACTCCAGCACTTTTACTCTCTATTAACTGCGAGTCAAATATCAAAAATTATCATTCAAGTCGACTCTCTGGACCGTTCTAGTTAGTTGAAGCTCCGTGAGCAGGTCATTCCTAAAGCCAAATTGCTCGTCAAGGAGTATATTGCGTGAAACCACTATTGCATTTAATCTGCCAAGAATTACCCTTACGGGTATCTTTCACATCATTGATAACAGGCTTATGGGGCGCCAGTTCTGCGTGAATAGTGGATTCTTATTCAGTTTAGGGAAGACAACTACTGTGACCAGCTTCCAGGTCTTAGGAAATTCACCTACTGTATAAATATCTATATCGTATTCTTATTGTATTCTTATTTTCGATTGTTAAATCTGGGGTAATTTTTTTTAATCGAGATGCTGTTTTAATGCACTTTTAGTGCAATTTTATTTTCGATTAATGAATCTCGGACAAAATGTACAACACTCGAGATTAATTTATAACACTCTAGATATTTTTGCAGAGTAGCAAGATTACCCTGAAATTAACCGCTGTTTTATATTATTTGAGAGATAAACTGTAATGTGATTTGATATATGTATTTGTGAAAAATGTATTAATTTAGATTATTTCAAAAATTTCCGATTGGACAAAACAATTTGACAGATCGAGAGTAAATCCAGATTGAATCCAGATTTAAGAATCGAAAACGCCATTAGAAAAAAATATTTATATCTTTGCAGTAAATATACATAAAAACTTCTTATAAATAAATTTATGACAAGAATAAAAACATGTTGAGAGAACATGTGCATATACAGCTGCCAGCCCTTCCACTTGGAGACATCTATTGCCGCGAATTTACCCGGGAGAGGCGAGCTGCACTAATCATTGTAGTTTCTTGAATTGTTCTTATTAAACCAACTGGATTTCCAAATAAAGCTATAGTCTCACTTCCTCTGTAGTCTCGTACAAAGACTTAGAAAGTGATTATTGGATTCTATCTCATCTTTATCAAGGCAACTTCTGCACAATCCACTTGTCGGAATACGTTAACGTTGAAGCATCGGTGCAATGGCCATTGTTCCTATTGAAACTAGTAAGCAAATCAAATATGAATACAAAAATGTTACTATTGGCATATCTTCATATTTCTTGTCATAATCCTAAAATAAATCACCATACTTACTTTAATATAAAAATAGTAACTTTTCGTTGAATTTAATATGTGCTCTTGACCTGCTCTTAACTTATTGACATTAGGATTTTCAATGTAAATAAAAAACACAAGTTTCTTTTGGTATTCCAAATTTCTAGGCTAAGGTCAAGAATATGCAAGCGATTCGAAAAAATCTTCTCCTACGAACACTATTATGAAATCAATAATTTTTAGTTTTCAATACTCGTCATTAGTCAGCGTGGAAATTTGGTAAGCAAATAATAGTAGAATTAAAAATTCTAAAAGTCAACAAATTGAATTCTTAAATACTTTGGTTAACGCCCGACGAAGTTACCTTGAAACTGAAGTTAATGATATCGTTCAGTTCAATTTGGATTATCATTGTGAGCAGTTCTTAGCAGTTCCAGGAGACGCAAATCAAAAATGTTAAATAATTATAATAATTACAATCGAAAGAAGAAGGCTGAGGCATTATTTTTGAATGTTAAACCTGTAAACACCACAGCAGTACGAAAATATAGTAATGCGTTACTGGACCGCATGGATAGTGGATTTGAAGGTATCGAAAGTCGACGTGGCACTCGACACTCAATATCGACTATTAGTTCAATGAATCCACAATTCACACCAGTAAGTTTATTAATTAATTCTTGTATGGTATCTATACAAATATATATTGATCCAGGAAATTATAAGTTCCTCCGCTATTGTACGGAGACCCCTGTTAAATGGAAAATTCTGTTGAACGAATACGTCTTTAGGCTCATACCCTTATCGCGGGTGAAACAATTATTTAAAACCCAATTATTTTATCATAACTTGGAATTATTTAAAGCCTTAACTCTATTCCGACCTCTGTCTTATATGGATAAAATGTGTGATGACTATACGTTCTAGACATTATTCGTTTCATATGAGTTGTTAAATATATATGTATAGTAAATATTACATAGTGTTAGTAAGACAAAGTTAACAAACCCGATGAAAAATTATGTATATATATAATAACCATTTATTTATTTTGTCTATATATATTTCACTAAAACTGAATCAATACTTTTTAACCAATACACATATAAGAAAGTATTAAATTTCGTATAAATATATAATATTTAATAATATTTTTGTTTCTAATTAATTAATTATTAAAATATTTAATATAATAATGATATATTTTATATATATATTTTTTTTTTTTTGATATATATTTTAAATATTTTAATATGTAGAGCGTTTTCTATCGTAATATTGCACCTGCTCAATGGTTTTTACGTATGATAGGTGTTATGCCTATAACAAGGTCAAGACCAGGACATAATCAATTTTTAATAGCCTCGCTGTCGTTCGGTTATTCGATAATATTTTTTATATTCTTGACGGTAAGGTTTTTATGAATTAAAATCTTAAATTTTTATAAAATAATTTTATTTTGTTAGGTTTATGTGGTATTTGTTGCAAATAATCGAATTAATATTGTAACCTCACTGACGGGTCCATTTGAGGAAGCTGTTATTGCCTACTTATTTTTGGTGAATATTTTACCCATTTTTCTTGTGCCGATTATGTGGTGGGAAGCAAAAAAGATAGCTACTTTGCTTAATGATTGGGATGATTTTGAGGTAAGTTCTAATATATTTTTTTTCATTTTACAGTTGTTAATTCAAAGTGAATACGTTACCAAGTATTTTGACTACTGTGGGTCGAATTTAATTAAGAATATTGTTGAACGGACTTTTGGTTTTATATTTTATATAAAAATATTCTCTATTAATAATTATTTTTAATAAAATTTATTTTGACAATTATTATTTATAACGTCTTGTCATAGCTTCACAATTCCATCGATGTAGAACTTATGTGGTTTAACTGTGAAAACTTCGCGAAGTGATTTTTAGCGGCTCTTTGGACGTCCAATTTTTTACTATTAAGAAAACATTGCAGAGATCAAAACAAATCGGTCCCAAATGGTGGAAGATCTGGAGTATACGGTCGATGCGTTAAAACTTTCCAACCATTTCTGTCAAGTTGTTTCAAATTCAAAAAATGGATTTGGCCTGCCATTATCATGATGGAATACAACTTGTTTTCTGTTAGTCAATTCTGGGGTTTTTTCTTTGGTTATTTTATCAAATCGATTGTGTTGTGAGCAGGGTCAAATTAATCGTTGCACCAGGCATGGGTAGTTCGTAATAAACAGTTCTCTACCAATTCCACCAAACACTTAACATAATCCTGTTTCAATTCAGGTTTTGAAGTTGCTTGCGAGGGTTACCGGCTTTTGACAATAAACGCTTGTGTTGGATTTTATCATACCTAATCCATTTTTCATCACTCGTAATGATTCGTTCGAAAAATGTTTATTTTCGTTACATTACACTGAAGGTATTTTGGTCAATCATATTTCTTTCCATTAATTCATGTGGAGCACTTTACGTGTCGGTCTTGCTTCATAAGTTACAAGATTACATCCATTTTTTTAGTGACTGGTACACAAGGACAGGATGTATTTTTGTTATCAAAATTTACTTAACGAAATAGAGCAAGATATGGTGTCCTAGACACTAAAGTCACTTCGTCTGTAATCCCGGAGAGATATACTTATGATTGATATTTTTAACTTCGTCTTCAATCATATTAACTTATGCATAGTCCATTTGTGGACTATAATTTTGTTAAAACTTGAATAGTCATCCGATTAAGAAACTCTTCAAATAGCTGTTTCTTCTTGTACTGTGGATTAATACCACAGTGGAATTATACTTATTTATATACTTATATACTTAAATAAATCAATTCCTTCTTCACACAAATGATATCATTCCGCAAAAGAACTAGTTCGATGTATATACAATGGAATTCATACTTTCCAGGTCCCATTTAGATTAACTTTATACTAGTTCAAAATCACATTTGATATTTAAATGGTTAATCAATCAAATTATATAGCTAGATCAAAGCTTTAACATCGTTTATTTCCTTAATCTCGTTAATTGCTTTAATCTACTATATATCTCACAATCTATAACTATTAGTTGATAGTTGATATATTGATATAATATATTGATTGTAGTATGATAATTATATGATTATATTAATTGATATAATCTACAGATACTTTATTATCAAATATCTGGACATAGTGTACCACTTAATTTGAGACGTAAGGCCATAATGATAACTATTGCACTACCAATTTTATCGGTACTTTCAGTGGTTATTACACACATAACAATGGCAGATTTTGAATTGGTACAGGTGAGTCACTCAAATAGACTTACTTGGGAACTTATATACAATTCACACATAATATATTTCAAAGGTAATACCTTATTGTATTCTGGATAACTTAACTGCCATGCTAGGAGCTTGGTGGTATATAGTATGTAAAGCTCTCAGTACTACAGCCAACATCTTAGCAGAACGTTTTCAAAAGGTAAGAAATGTTTTAATAGAATATAATTATTCATACAATCACTTTTAATGAAAACAGGCACTTCGCCATATTGGACCCGCAGCTATGGTAGCAGATTATCGTGCTTTGTGGTTGCGTTTAAGTAAACTAACACGTGATACCGGAAATGCCACTTGTTATACATTCACTTTCCTCAATCTTTATTTATTTTTCATAATTACTCTTTCGATTTATGGTCTTATGTCACAGCTTTCCGAAGGTTTCGGTATTAAGGATATTGGTTTAGCAATTACCACTATTTGGAACGTTTGCTTGTTATTCTATATATGCGATGAGGCCCATTATGCTTCGTTTAATGTACGCACTAACTTCCAAAAGAAGTTGCTTATGGTCAAGTTGAACTGGATGAACTCGGATGCACAAACTGAAATTAACATGTTCCTTCGTGCTACCGAAATGAATCCTTCAAATATTAATTGTGGTGGATTCTTTGATGTTAATCGGAATTTATTCAAAGGGGTTTGTCAGATTTTTGTACATTTTTAGACTAAATATATATATTATTTATTCAAATCTTAATTATAAACTTTTGTGACGAATTATAATTACTAACATAAATCATCAAATATATATTTATATATATATTTCTTATGCTTTAGCTCCTTACAACAATGGTCACATACTTGGTTGTATTGTTACAGTTCCAGATAAGTATTCCAACTGATAACAGAGTTCATAATATGAATAATACTATGTCCGATATAATGAGCAATATGGCTATGGAGGAAAGCGCTGAAAATGATATGACAACCATTATGGCTACGACTACTACAACTATGATGGCTGTTAAAGCGAGGAAGGGTTAAGAATATATACAAACATATATGTTTATATTTTATTTTGATAAAGTTTAATTTTTAACAAATAAATATATTCAAAAAAATTGTTGTAAAATTATTTTACAGTTCAGTTTAGGGAAAGGGTGTCTAAGATGATATGATCTGTAGAGTATTTTCTTTAACTTATATATTCTATATATTCTTATAATATAGTTTCTTATATATTATATTATAAAATTATATTATATTAGTATATTATATATTACTTCTTATGAATATTAGAAGTAACTTCCTAATCAGAAATTAAAATTTGAATAAAGCATAATGTTTTTAATCAAAGCTGAAATACATGGATTCGAAGTAATACTAGAATTCTTAACAATAATTTGCTTTAATGTACCAATGCACAATCCAGAAAATATTATTTATATTTAATTTTGTTTCCATAATGAAGATGTTTAATTTGATTCATTGTTTTATGTAGCCAGTTCCTCTAAATTCTACACCCATTGTGCGAAATTCAGTTAAACTTCCATTGCAGTTAATGTTTCAATTACAATAAACAACTAACATATCTAAGTATATTGATATATATGAAGAAGATTTCCATTATTATAGGTTATAAGCCTCTTATAGGTTATAAGTGGTTCACGCTATTATGTTATGCACTCGAGTCAAACTTACTTGAGAGTAAAAAACCCATCCATATCTGTATTTACAGAAGCAGTCAAAAAATGATCAAAGTACTGGCCTCTTGAAAGAATTTTGGCACCAAAACCGGTATATGTTTAACTGGAAACCTGGTTATATGGGATTCAGTAAACAATCTCGCAAAGACTGGATTCACAATTCAAAAGACCGCTACGGTGAAGCTCCGGGCCTCTCAATTGTGAGGACCGGAGCTTTATTGTGGAATAAGTTACTCCACAGCGAGATTTACGATAGAAAGGTGCTTGTAACCAAAAGTAGTCACTATTATTGTGACACTGCAGGTAACAGGGAGGTTTGCTTGTTCGCCTATGATAGGATTTTCTTCTTCAGTTGAACAGCGCTGATACTGTTGATAGGTTATCTGAGGAGTTATTATGTTCTGTGTAATCTGTGTAATCATCTTAACACAATAGGTTTGTCTGAGACAAATTAAAACCGAATATAACTAAATTAATAAATCCTATCCCCTACTTACATTAAATTCAACAGCTGAAGATGTGACAATAATTCGATGAAGGAGTGTCTTCTGTTTAGTTAGAATTAGATAGCACAAAAGATTACATATGGTCGCACTTATTTTCTTCACTGAAAACCAATAACCAAGTACTAAGTTTGAGTTACTACAAATCATACAAATCATATTAAAAAAAAAAAGGAAAAATGAGGCTTACGACAAAACCAGTTGCCATTGGTGAGATATATTTATGAATATACAGGTTTTAGAACAATTGTGAGCTGTCGACACTCTAAACACCTTACCATTCATCAAGTTATGGTCAAGCTATTGCCAGCTATATGCCAGCTGTATAGGCAATATTAGATGTCTTTTAGAGGACATTAAAATGACATTGTATGTCACACCTAATGGCAAGATCCAAACAATATATTACTTTTGTAACCACAAAACAGAGTTAGTAATAATACAGAGCTAATACAGAGTTAGTATTAAACATAATTCAAAACCTTTTAGAAATCGGAAAAGTAAATGTAAAAAGTTTTATATTAACACAATTCTTTTAGTATTTATTTATTTTGAAAAGTTAATACTAATTTCTTTATATAACATTAAATACATTTTATATTTATGATATATAATACTTTTCTTTCATGTCTTTAAAATATTATAAAAAATATCTTTCTAAGCAATTATAATTTTTTAATACAATTATTTAAGAAGGGGCACTTCAAATCAAATATACTTAGCTTTAAAAATTTTATTAAATTATATATAATGATTTTATCTAATTAAAAAAATATCACATTAATTCTAAAAATGTTGTGTTTTATAACATTAATTAAAAAGCAAAATTATTGCATTTTCTTGTTAAATTAAAAATACAAGGCAATCTTATATTTGCATTAAATTAAAAAATTCCTGTCGATTATTTTTAAAAATAAAAGGTCACAGTTTGAAAGTCACAGAAGATGAGGAATTGCATCAGAGATTTAAATGTGCAAGTGGATAAAAGGACTTCTATATATATTTAGATCAGTGATGAACATGGAAATGTATTTAATTAAAAATACCATAGAAAAACCGCTAAGAAAATAACTTTTATATAATAAAGTAAATAAAATTGTTTAACAATCCAAAAAACTATATAATATGATAGATGGTACTGTAGTAAAAGAAAAGAAATTAATCTCATTGCTAAATCGATTTACTAATTTTTATTACTAAATATATAATATGTCAAAGAGAATTCTATTGCAAAAAAGTTCACCCACTAAAATCTTCATATCTCAAAAATATACTTATCTGATTTTTAGATAAGTAAATATTTTTTAATTTAATCTTATTTTCCTTAATTTCAAAATTTGAAGTTAGTCTTGGACAATTTCTATTGCGGGTAATATTGAAAATTTGCCCCACGTCAATGATTAAAGCCATAATAGCTATAGCTATTAAGCCTTACGTTAATTTTGTAATTGGAGTTAAATTGTTAATAATAAGGAAACCCATGCTCAAACTCTATTAACTGGAGCTTCGTCACTGTCATGACTCCATAACCATAACTTTGATGGTTATAGACCCATGCCTACGATGTATTGCGTTATGACAATATCCGGACACGGTAAAGGCTAGTCACCGAAGATACAGACTTTAATCTATGTGATAGCATACCTTATCCCCAATCCCAAATTGATAAGTATTAATATATGAATATATAATATATGTGAATACAATAATAATATTTTCTAACTATAGTATAACATTGCCTTGTATTTTTAGTGCAAAAGCATATTAATAATTTCAACAAATTATATATACTACAATATAATCTTTTAGTTACGGTAACCAAATCCACTTAATATAGGAAGATTATAGATGGAAACAATAGTTTTATATATTTGTACTTAAAGTGGAAAATAAATATTTGTGGATTTAGTTACTGGATAGAAGCCGAAGATATCTTAGTTTAAGAATCGAATATTGTCAAAAGTTTTGACGTGCAAAATGTTTCAAATATAGCAACCCATAAAATATATTATTTATATTTTTCTTTAATACTTAAAAATAGAGTTTATTGGAATTATTATATATATATATCTATCTTTTTTCTTTTAAATAAATTATTATATATTCAATTTATTTTAGTAATTTCCATCGGGATTTTCGGTTAGAATATGTTTGTAGCCATTGCTTCCAAGGTACATATTTTCACGTCGGAAAGGTATCTGCAAAAGAAAAGAATTGTGTTAAAGTAAAAGTAAAAACTAATAGATGTGATAAGTAATATTTCTGAAAATAAATTTTTAGTAATTTATATTACTAAAAAATTTGGTATTTGAAAAAATGTCGAAGGACGAAAAAGAACCCAAATCATTTCATGGTCTACTTCGGCTAATCGTTCATTTCAGTGGGGCCATTTGTTGAACGGTGCGCTGTCCCAACGTCTCAAAATATTTATTGTTTCCATATGTTATAAATAAATAACGCCCTACATTTTGTCCAGAAAACTGTCTAGTTTACTCTAAAGACACAATGTTTTTAATAGTTTCAACGCTGCCAAAGTGGTAATTTTGAGAGTAAAGATGGGCGCATCAAAAAAATTTTAAAATAAAGGACTAGAGGTATTGTTAGAGCTAGATTCGTGTCAATCACAAAAAGATATACCAAAATCGACGCGATGTAAGTAGCAAATTCCAAATAAGTAAAATCATTAGAAGTAATTGAAAAGCAAGGAAATAGGGTGCCTTATGAGTTAACATGAAGAAACTTCGAACAGCGATTACACCTGTTTGAAATGCTGCTTGGACGCTATATAAAGTAGTCTCATCTTTTCCTTAGATGAGAAGTGTGTACCGAATCGTATGTTCAACGAGTTCAATTACCCAAGTCGATGTCAAAGCCGAAAATCCATTGAAGCAAGTAAATGCTCAGTAGTTTTTTGGAGCAAAAGGGTGTCAACTGTTAGCAGTAACTGAAACGGGGTGATTCATTTATAGAATAATTCATTTATAGAAAATATTAGACCGAACATGATCCTATCATTACTTACTTTTGATTTAAGTCGCACAAAAGCGACAAAAAATGATCTAATTTTTGGTAGATCTCACCACTGCTGGTGAGGAACCCAATAGTGACAGTAAGATGGGAAAATGTCAAAACTTTCGTTGGACAATATTTTGAATTTTATGTTCTTTTCGTAATAATTCTAAATATTGACCTTTTGTTATAAAAAAATTTAGTTTTTTAGATATACATACAATAGTATTAATATATTATACAATGACTTGAGAGTCGAAAGAGTGCAAAACCTCTCTCGTCAGGAAGATATATGGGGCTTCAAACTACACTTATCACTTGGGAACAATATTGATCGACGAGATGTTTTATCGTGATGTTATATATCAATATGAATATACATATCTAATAAACGTTATATACGTTATATAGTTATACAGTTTATAGTTTATAGTTTATGTAGTATATAGTATTGCGTCTTTACATTTATCTTGGTCGCATTACAGTCACTTCGGTTGTGAAGGATGTAATATTATAATTAATTCGTTAATGGTTAGTTAAGTATTATTAATAACTTTAAAAACTTACAGCGCCTGGAGGTGGGCACGGTATGGCTACAGTTGCAATCTCTCGCAATTTGTTCATAGTGCGAAGGCTCTGATAAAAGGAATGTACAATGTACCACATCAAACTATCGAAAACGAGTACAGCGAAGCAAATGGTAACTAAAATTAGAGAAAGGAAAAGAAATTTCAATAAAATTGTTAATTTTAAAATAAATCTTTGGATAATTATTTACTGTCATTCACTTACAATACATAATTTTGCCTCCAATGAATTCAACAAA